CCATGCCACGGCAGCCTCTCATTCCCCTGATAGGTCTGACGTCAGAGATTTTCAAATCTGTATCAGTCTGTATCAGATCCGTTGCAGCCCCTTTTTTAGAGATTTGGGTATGGAGGAAAAGAAAGAGGGTTGTGTTTTCTGACACTTGGTGAGTTCCCTGACACACCGGGGACACATATTCATGTATACAAGACGTACAAAACTGCATTTTGCATGATAGGTCCCCTTTAAGGAAGTATCTGAATGCTTCCTCCACCGCTGGTCAGCATTAGTATTCTGACTCTGAGCTTGTGGCTGGTAGTGCCAGATGTCCCCCCCCCACCCCTCCTCCTCCATGCAGGGAAACCCCACGCAACAGCCGGCCATTCATCCGTTATGAGCACATGAGGAGGCTCCTGTTGGCAGCTTATGTCAGTCTGACAACCTGCTGATGGTGACTTTATGATGTCTCAGCATGACGCCTCTTCACAGAGAGACATCTTTCTCAAAGCCTAACGGGACGCGTTACAATGAAGGCGCTCTAAAAATATGTATGGAGTTGGATCTATTGTACTGTTTGTTTGGAGCTGTTGTTGTGGGAAGTAATGAGGGGGATGTTTACTGTATAACAGCAAATGAGTGAGTCCCCACAAGCCTGTTAGAGCTTTGACAACATACTGTGTTTTTGTCCTTCTTATCTTCAGTATTGTAGTGTGGAATGTGCTGTGTGAGTTAATGACATTTTTTTATTTGTGGACGGTGGATGAAGTTATTTGGTCGTTACTCTGGGCACCAGAAAGCATGCAGACCTTCAAAATATCATAAAGCTAAAATAAGAGACAGCCGGTCTCACTCTGTATTCAGGTAGCGCGCAGCAGGCATGCTTCACATAAATACACATTTCTTTGAACAAGTATACCTTTTACATCGGGAGTATTGCAGTCTTTTTTGGTCATTTTTCTGACTGAACAAGTATGTTTCTGTATGTGGTAATGCTGTCATATAACATTTATATTGTCTTAATTTGTGATATAATATTCATATACAAACAATGTAGGTTTTTTTTTCTTTAAAGCTTTTCTTTATTACTAAGCTCGCTATTCCCAATCCAATATGCATATTTCTTTTGCACGGATAAGACATGCTGAAGAAAGCTACGACTGAAAAGCAAGACCAAGTAAAATATTCAGTTGAAAATGTTAACAAGCTACTGCCATCTTAAGGGAGGAAAACAGCATAGCCACAAGAAGCAGCTGTGAACACTCAGCCTACATACAATAGATAGATGCTGTCAAAAGCTTTGTTGCAAAAGTATATGAGTATTCATTTAATACTCAAATACTGAGAAATGTAAAACAACAAGTATTTAATCCCCTACCAATTATACCTGGATTGTTATAAATATGACAAGTAACATAAGCAGTAGAACAATAAAGAAAGGACAGTGCCACATCTGCTTGAAGATATTTAGGAAACCATTACTTTATTTTGACCTTTTCACACTTCAAATATTCAGAGAATTATAAACAAAGGCAGACCGTTTATTCATCATTAGGTTCCTCTGGAGTCAAAACTGCCCCCAAAATACAGAGTATACCATAACCACTGTGGATGTTTAACCATTGATTCTCGGAGAAAGACACGACACCAGTCCTGGACTTTTCTTAATATTTAAATAACAAAGAGCTATTACTCACACACAGCGGAACGATAACATATGACATTTTTCAATTGCACAAGATTCAAGCACAAAGAAAAAGTGACCAGCATCTGCAGACAAGAAATACAAACATCCCCTACAGAACTGTGCGCTATCCATCTATTAGTTCGTATTGAAATACAAGATGAGGGATAGGCTTCTAATGAGACTTTAACCACAGAACTCAAAGCAACCCATACAAAATGGAAGAACAACAATGATATGATTTCATTATAATAAGAAAAGAAACAATGGAAAAAATAAAGTTGGATTTACCGAGGCTAATGCAATGTTGTCATGCTGTTGTTCACTCATCTAACACTGTGTCACAGTCCGGTATCAGATAGACAATGGTTCAAAGGCTGCTGCAACATTCATGAAGCAGTCTCCTTCTTCATTTTTGCATTAGTTTCAGAAGGCCATCGTTTGGTCTACATCATGTCTGGATCTCCACTGGAACAAAGTGGCTCTAAGTGGCACTGACTGTATGTCTTTGGCTCCTCTTTTGTTTTTGTTAGCAACCAATGTTCCAATACAGTTGATTTTCAAGGCAGAAAAGTAATTACTCTAGTTGTAAAACACGAGTTTCATAATATGAATTACAGATTCTGAGCTGTGGATCAGCCACCAATTTGTTGTTTCAGTACAAGAGTAATAGGGGCTTTTGATGAGAAATTAGATTTTAGGAAGCTGCACTTGCATACATGGACAGGAGGCCAAAGTACTGTAATACAAGTTGAAGGCAAAAGTCAGTCAGTCACTTCACAGGTTTTGTAACTTTAGGCTGCACAAACCAAAAATGAGGTACCACAAGAGATATTACATACATTAAAAAGTTACCAATTATTTATACTATGTTGGCTTTAAAGTGCTTATCTTTACATAAACACACGACAACCATCTCTAAAGCAGCACTAATATGTCATGTCACATTATTTGTCTGAAAGGTCATCATCCCTAACATGACATAAGGGCAAGAGAGAATACTTTTTCACAAAGCTCTGCTGCAAGAGGCCACACGTCTTAAAGTCTCCCTCTGTGAAAGGGAGATTCTTTAATAGACTGTTTTCAATCTCTTCAATATAGTTCTGCTTCAGCACAGCCGAGGAGCTAGACGATGAGCAGCAATCTTTACCCAGGCGGCTCTGCAATGTTGCCACGCTGCTGTTCATTTGGTCATCTGACACATTGTCGCAGTCCTGTTCAATTCCTTGTCCACTGAGCAGGCTCATGCTCTCATCTGCTGACAGTGTGTCGTTGTTCTGAACGTTGCTATGTCTCATATGTGGACTGCTGTGTATGTCATTTGATACAGTCTCACTGATTATTTTGGCATTAGTCTCAAAAGGCGTTCTTGTGGTCTTGGCGATGTTGAGGCACATGTCTCCAGTCCCTCCTCTGTTTTTCTTAGGGGTGTGGTACTTGCTCAGGTCAACAAGAATGCAGTCAGAGTCATTTTCAATAACTTCTGCGTCCATCTCTTCCTCAGAAGCATCTGGCTCCGTGGCTTCTTCGCCTGACTTCCCAGCTCCACGTACAGGAGAATCAAACAACACCCCTTTGGGTAAAAGAGGCTGGAAATGTCTGCGGCGGGGGCTGGTGTTTGCGGAGAAGCTGAGTTGGCTCTCAGGCTGACTCAACATGTAGTGTCGGACACACTCAGGCACCAGGATTTCATGGCGCTTTCTGTAACACAGAACACAGGAGCACACACCTCAGGCAGCCAGGATTTGCAAATCGGCGCTTTCTCGTGGGGCAGGTAAGGGCACGAGAAGGCAGCCGCCTAGCACGGCTTACAGGTGGTTTCCGCCTACACCATGCGGGGTAGCCAACGCGGGTAGGTAGGCGCTTTAAGTTTAAGGTGCGAGAGACAAAAGTCCTCACAAGCTCCTTTGGTAAGAGGAGTGGTCGGAGTAGGGAAACCACATGGACAGTTTGGGTGAAAGGGCACACACCACCCAGGGGCCTGCTGGTGGGCAAGCATGGCCAAGAGTGGGCCTTGTTCTTATGTCCCACTTTGTGTACAATTGGCAACGAGCAGATCTTCGACTCGACTGGGCTCCACAAAAAATTTCGGGCATACCGACCGCACCTGGGTTCTGTTGTGAAGCAACGTCCAAGCGCAGCTGCCAAGGGGCTTTGAAGGGTGCTGCANACTGGTAGGTTTTCGCCTGTTTGGGGAGTTTATATATATATATATATATTGCTCGCATAAAATCCCCGGGGTTTTTTGCTTTGTATGCGGGGGGCGGGAGAATCATGTGATTGGTTGTTGGTCGCGTTGCTCGCGAAAAATCCCCAAGCTCTCAGACACGTCCAGCTCCAAGATTTTCAAGATTTTTTCAAAGCTGCTGTGTGGACGTACCGTTAGAGTTGCAGACAAAGAGAGATAACACTCTCAACACACTGCTGACTGTTATCTTGCAGTGCTCTCATAAAGAACAAGAGCCGCATTGTTCAAGTATGACCTTGGCAGGAAGCTACCGTGGGATACAACAGGTCAAGTTGATCAAGCAATTTCTCAGTATAATCTCATCATTTGGTTTTACCATATAAAGTAATACAAGAAATTGCCACGACATTCCCCCCTTTTGATCATACTTTGATAAATCATGAAAATAAAACAAATTACAGGATAGATTGATATAACACATCCATGAGTACACCCCATCGCTGGTTTAAGTAAACACATCACAAACATATCATGGAAAGTGGCTGTTTTTAGGACATACTCCGCGGTATTGTTCGTTTTTCTACCTGTACGTCTGTTAGGCTGTCATGAACCTTCATTCCTAGCCATGGGTGTAAGAGGTATAAGATTGATGCAAAAATAAACGCCATGGCAAATATGCAACAGATCCATTCTACTGTTATCCATTTGTTTTTTGTAGCAGGTTTCACATCTGTCTCTACGCTTACGGTGACGTTGGCGTATAATTAGATTATTAGCTAGTTCTTGTCGGAGGGGCTCCATCTTCAGTTATTCGCAAATGTTCAGGCACAAAGTTTATGTTGGTGTCGTCGTCTCCTTAGTGGATGTGTCTAGTCTGACTGAGCCCGTGCCTTCATGACCATATCAATTAAGCCCCACACAATGACGGCACAGACAAGGAACCAGAGGCATATGAAACAGCACAGCTGGCCCACGCCCATGATTCTTGTGTGTGGTACTAGGGTGTATGTACTGCGTGTGTGGTGCTGATGGTGACTTGGCACGTCACTTGTCGTCGTCTGTTTCTACTGGACCGGCTAGACAGGGGCGGAGATGACAGCTTTGCAGTGGCTGGCGTGGACCCACGTGGCTCTCGGCGACCTTGACCGCTGTGGGTGACGAGAAGCACCTGGTAGGGACCTTGCCAACGGTTGGATTTCCAGCTCTTTCTCCGGAAGTCCTTGACCAGCACGAAGTTGCCTGGTTGGATACGGTGGAGTGGACCAGTAGCAGGGGTAGATAGAGCTGCCGCTACCTGGTGTCTGATATCTGCTAAAGTGGATGACAGTTTAACACAATATGACAACATAGCATCCTCACACAGGCTTGTGGAAGGAAGGGGACATCCTGGCGCCTTGGTCCCAATCTGTGTAGGGGCTGCAAAAAGGATCTCAAAAGGGCTGAGTTGACTCCGTGTTCGTTTCCGCATCCTTATGTATATCAGCACAATGGGCAGGGCTTGTGTCCAGGACTCCAGGCTAAGTTCGATAAAATCCAGCATTAGGAGCCCAAATCGTCTGGTTGGTTGGGGGTGGGTGTGCTCCTGTTCCGTCTCGCTCGACCGGACCCTTCTCTCCTCCTCCTCCGCACGTCAGTCTGAAGTTCCCCCTTGTTGTTGATTTCCCCGGTTCTGGTTCCATACGGCTTTCGGACAGTCATTGACCCAGTGGTCTTTGGATCGGCAGATGAAACAGCTTCCATCTTCCCTTGCTTCTTGGTTGGTTTGGCGGCCTCTGCCCCGTCCTCCATGGGTGTTTTGTCCCTCGCCACCGCGTCCTCTGCCTCTGAAACCACCTCTACCATCTGTACCCTCCTCGGCCACGGTTATCGCCTTGGGGTTGGTATGATCAACCTGTTACAGCTTGGACCATGGTCAGTTGGGCTTTGTCTTTCCTGTCACGTCTTTTCTTGTCGTCGTTGACCTTTTCTTCGTTGAGGCGGTGTTGGGCATGTATGGCCTGTCTGCGCAATTCTTCAAGTTTGGCACCATCCATCACTCCAATGCAGGTTTGTTTTACAGATGTGGAGATGGGGGCTGCGAGACCGTTGAGGAAAGTGTGGCTGAGGTTGGCCTCCCACACGCCTGTCTCAGGGGTGGGCTAGCCGTCAGGCTTGGCGATGCCGCTGTTTTCGTTGAAAACTTGATGCAGACGATGATAATAGTCATTTACTGATTCTTCTGTATTTTGTTTACAGGCAGAGATCGTTGACATGTCAACTTTGGCTGGAAACTTGGCTTTGATGGCGTCGCCGAGTGCGGTGAGGGCGTTGCGGTATGGGGCGTTGTCTGCATGGTCCCATTGTGGTTTCTTCAACCCAGTTTGACCGGCCAGCAGTGCTGTGAAATGGCTGGCATGTGTTGGCCCGATTTTTAATGTCAGTAATTTTTTTATCTCAGGCATGGTAGGAGATAACTGTTGGCAGAACAGGAGTAGGGCTTTGGCAAATTTGTCGCCGTCTTGTTGAATTTCAGGGAGATGTTTCAACATTTCCTTCATTTCTTTCATTGTCCAGGGGCAGTAAACAGCTGGACCCTCTGGTCCCATTGTTTGAATCTTGGGAAATGCTTGTTGTACCATGGAGTCTTCTTCTTCTTCTTCTTCTTCTTCTTCTTCTTCTTCTTCTTCTTCTTCTTCTTCTTCTTCTTCTTCTTCGTGCTGACCTTTCTGTTGGCTGAGCGATTCCTTTCTTGCTGCTGCTGCTGCTTCTTTCTTTCTCTTTTCTTCTTCCCTCCGATTCTTTTCTTTTTCTTTGATTCTTGCCTCTGTGTCGGCAATGTCATGGGAAGAAGAGCTGGAGTCGGGAAGGTGATATACTTGCGACACCCCTTTGGGTAAAAGAGGCTGGAAATGTCTGCGGCGGGGACTGGTGTTTGCGGAGGAGCTGAGTTGGCTCTCAGGCTGACTCAACATGTAGTGTCGGACACACTCAGGCACCAGGATTTCATGGCGCTCAGCCTGAGAGCCAACTCAGCTCCTCCGCAAACACCAGTCCCCGCCGCAGNACTAATGATAAGTACGTAGTAGAAAAACTAATATTTTAAATTCGGGACGGTCCACATTAATTTCGGGACGGCTTAGATTGTATTTCGGGACGGTTCCGGGAGGATGGTGAAAAAAGTTAGTCGAGAGCCCTGGTCTTCACAACAGAACCAGGTGCCGGTCATATCCGAGTTGTGGAGCAGTCGAAGATCTGCTCTGCCAATGTACAGAAGTGGGACAAAGAACAACCCACTCTGGCCATCTTGCCCACCAGCAGGCCCCTGGTGTCCTTTCACCCAAATGTCCATGTGGTTCCCTANCCGTCCCGAATTTAAAATATTAGTTTTTCTACTACGTACTTATCATTAGTTAAAATCATTCAAAGTGACCTTTAACATAAATAAAACATCATACAAATCATTAGATGATAATTCATCAACCTTTTTATTTGAGTAAATCAGTCAATCACATGAACAAAGGCCAAATATATTTAAACAAACGAGAAAATTACTCTAATATTGAATCAAATCAAGTCCCATCCAATTAACAAAAAAATCCAACACTCTGTCCTGAAGACAGAACCCAGAGTAACCACTAACCAGGAGGACAGTCTGTAACACAGTCAGGAGACCTTTACAAACTGCCCCGCCCCCTCGCACACAGACGGGAGAGAGAGATCTCGTCTGGATTGGAAAGCTCGAAAATACATCATAGACGCATGTTGTAGTCTTATTGCATATTAGAAACGGAGTTGGATAAACTAAAACTGCGATATGACATATATTTTTTAAATGTCTCCAGTACCGATAAAAAGTCAGATAATGTCGGAGCTTAACGTTACCACTGTCTTTAATAATTCCGGCCCGGGCGGTGCCCGTTTAA